ATTAGCACCACCACAACACCCGTTTAAAAATGGTACCAATTAACTACGTGTTATCTTTTGATTTTGATAAAAAATAGTCTCATTTTCGGTGTTTGAAAAATAATTTTCTTGATTTTTTTATTTATTAGAAATTATTATTTTTATTGATTCTTTATTGTTTCATTTTTATTCGAGAAAAATAAATTAGAACTTTTTTATTAAAATAATTCTTAAAATGTTCAAGTACATTGGTAACATTAGAAAAACTTTTTCTCACATAGAAATTTCTTAGGCATCGTTTCTCGGAATACCTTATAATTCCATCTTTGGAGGCTCAAATTTACTTTTCGTAAAAAAATTATGTCGTGCATGCAATGTAGAATGTTACCATGTTAATACACATATTTTATTCTTTTTTAGAAATTTTATTAATATTTATTATTATTTTCATTTAAAGAATGAAAAAATATGAATTTTTATTATATTAAAGATTTCCTATAAATATTTCAATACACCGGTAATATTTAAAAAATTCTTCTCATCTAAGGATTTTTTTAAAGCATCTTTACTCGGAATACTTTTAGAATCCCATCATCGGATAAAATTTCCATTTTCTCATTTTTTATTACCTATTCTTAATTTATTAATTAGTTTTTATTTATTATTTTATAACAAAAAAAATTTTTATTGTCTTGAAAATTTTTTAATAAATACTCCAATACATTGGCAATATTCAAAAAAAATTTTCTCACCTAAAGATTTCGTAGGTATTATTGCTCGGAGTACTTTTGAATCTCATCGTCGGATAAAATTTTTTTTTTTCTTATTTTATAAGATTTATTTTAAAAATAACAAAATTATCACAAATTTTTACTATATATTTCATTATTTTATTTTTATTTGTTAATATTATAAAACAACAAAAATTTATTCTAGCAAATTAAAATATTTTTACATGCATAAATATTAATAACAAAATTTAAAATAACAAAAATAATATTTTTAAAAAATAAAAAATATTTTTTACTTGAACATGACCGATCAACAGTCCGATCAATGCAGGGCCCGGTATAGTTGACGGCTTGGTTCGATCAAGTTGATTCGATAGTTCAATGCCGATCTAGTCCAGTTCAATTGGACCAGTTAGGGGTTAAAGGGTGAGTCGAGTCATTGGGTTAGTTGCGCAGATCCCAGGTCAGGTCGACAAGTTGATAGGTGGATCTTGGGCTTAAAACGGCGTCGTTTTGGTGTTTAAATGAAATGACGTTGTTTTAGTTATTGACAGCTCTATAAAAGTAAAAAAAAATAATTTTACTTTATTTCACCCCCTCTACTCAAAAAAAAAAAAACTCTCTCTCCTCTTTTTTTAGACCGATCTGGGGCTGACGACCATTCGCTGTGACATCATTGTGGTCTTCATTGGCTATGAGCTCCCACCGCCATTGCTGGTGTCAAAAAATTTAGAAAAAAACCCTAAAATGCTCCTCTTGATCCCCTGAATATAGATTCAACCTTCTTTTCACCAAAAAGAAACCTAAAAAACCTAGATATGCTTTTGAAGTTTCGGTTAAACTTTTTTTTTTATATTATTTTTTACTTTTGATTTTTTACCAACTTTTCCTCTTTTTTGTTTATATGGATCTCTCGACGCTAGGTTCCTCCCTGCAAAAAAGACTATGTTAATTTTTTTTAGCAGAAAGCTTTTCCCTTTCTTTTTTTGGTAAGATATCCTCCTCTTCCTTTTTGGTTTGGCCAAGAGCTCTATTTATAGAGCTCCGGTAGTGCCATGTGCTTGAGGGAGTGGCACAGGGCTAAGCATGGTGGTGCAAGCACAAACCTCATACCCCTTTTATTTTTTTTATCTTATTTGATAGTGGTAGGGCATGATGGCTAGGAGCCTAGGCGAGGGTAGTGAACAGGGGTGGCAGTGGTGAACAGAGTATAGGTGACCAGAGGGTAGGGTATGGTGGCTAGTGGGATGGGTGATCAAAGGGTAGGGTATGGTGGCCAATGGTGCTGGGTAAGGCACCACTGCCATCAGCCCCCACTTTTTATTTTTTTTTGTATTTTTGTTTAATTTAATAAAACAAAGAAAATAAAAGGCAAGTTGGGCTTAAAGAACAAAATGGGCTTCGAGCCTAATTAAAATCAGACTTTAGGCCCAGTCGAATTGGAATCGAGCTTGAAACCCAATTGTATTGAAATTGTGCCTGAAGCCCAATTGAATTGAAATCGAGTATTGGCATGATAGCTCGAGAATTATTAATTAAAATTCAGATAAATTTGGTGTCTACAGTTGCTCCTCTTTACGTATTACTGAGAATCAATAATAGGGCAAAGATAAAGACAACAATTTTGTCCGGAATCCAAAGGGATTTTTTTTCTTTTTTTTTTTAAAACATAAACTACTCAAAAAGTTTTTTCTCGTCAAATCGAAAATGCTCTTCTCACTTGAGGCTCGACAACTTTTGAAAATTTAAAATCTAAAATAGACTCTTCTCATCAGAGGCTCAACAACTTTAAAATTTTATCTTGAAAAAGTTTCTTTAAGCAGAAGCTCAACAACTTTAAAAATCCTTATCCAACAACTTTAAAAATCCTCATCTTGAAAAAGCTCCTCTCAGCAAAGACTTAACAACTTTAAAAATCTCATTTGAAAAAGCTCTTCTTAGCAAAGGCTCAACAACTTTAAAAATCTTATCTGAAAAAGCTCCTCTCAGCAAAGGCTCAACAACTTTAAAAATTCTCATCTTGAAAAAGCTCATCTCAATAGAGGCTTAACAACTTTAAAAATTTATCTTGAAAAAGCTCCTTTCAGCAGAGGCTCGACAATTTTAAAAATTCATCTTGAAAAAGCTCTTTTCAGTAGAGGCTTGACAACTTTAAAAATCTCATATGTTCTCCAAATCAAGTTTTCATCTTTGAACAAGTAAATTTCTCTCTTTTGAAATCTTTTGTTTGATCTTGTTTTTCATTAGAAAATGAAAAGTCTTTATCTTCATTGTTCATGGATGCATGTACTGAGTGCTCTAAATGCAATGCATGTAATGCAATCAAAATTATTCATTGTGGTAAAAAGGTTCTCAAAATCTCTTGCTTTTTGGTTTCCTTTATCAAAATTGCCATATGACCAATATGTTCTTAACATCTGACCATTGTATTCTTCCGTAACAATACTTCTCTTCTTTAAATGTTTGCAACATTAATGTCTCATCATGCTTTTCTCATCCCTTGTCATTTGCCTTTGTTAACTTTTAAAAAGTAATGCTGAGATCTTTCATGTTCATTTTTTTCATCGTTTTAAGTTCAAGACAAATAAAATGCAATCACACATTTCTTCTATTTGTACGGTAAACGAAAATATCAATGAGGATAAAGGAATGGATAGGTATTATTTCCAAAGGAAAGATAGCATATTTCATTAGACTGATAATAAAATGCATGGCAAAGTGTTTAAGTCTAAACAGAGGTGCCCAAATAATGAATAAAATATTCTTAAATTCTTTTTCTAAAACTAAATCAGATGACTTCCTTGATTTTTTAAAGTTCTTTAAACTACACTTGCCCCTGTGTTATGGGGTCTTCTCTTGATGATGCTTCTTCTTCGCATCCAAGCCATCTTTCCAGGTTTTCAGCTTAGATATGTAATTGTTTTTTTACTTTTTATTTTTTTTCTCTTTTTGTTTTTTTAAGTAAAATATTTCTTTACAGCATTTGAATTTACCGGAGTGGGTAAATCACCTCTATCTATCTCTATCAAAATTAATGCCCCACCAAAAAATGCTTTTTTCACTACGTACGGGCCCTCCCAATTTGGTGTCCATTTTTCTCGATTGTCATGTTGATTTGGAAGGATCTTTTTCAACACTAAGTCTCCTTCCCTAAAGCGACAGGGATGAATTTTCTTATCATGTGCTCTCATCATCCTTTTTTGTAACCATGACAAAGTGCTGTAAGTCTTTTCTCTTCAATGAGGTTCAACTGCTCGTAGCGATTTCAAACCCATTTTACTTCCTCTAACTCTACCTCTATCAGTACTCTCAGCGAGGAAATTTTCACTTCGACTGGCAGCACAACTTTCATTCTATATACCAAAGAGAATGGGATGGCCCCAGTAAATGTTCAGATCGCTGTTCTATAAGCATGCAAAGAAAAAGGTAACTTTTCATGCCAATCTTTATAAGTATCAATCATTTTCTCCAAGATTCTTTTGATATTCTTATTTGTAGTCTCTACTACCTCATTCATCTTTGGATGATATGATGCTGAATTATGATGATGGATCTTGAATTGAGTGCATACTTCATTCATCATTTTACTGTTTAAGTTTTTGGCATTATCAGAAATAATCATTTCTGAAAGCTCATATCTGCATATTATCTCTTTTTTTATGAACTTGCATACCATTGATCGAGTCACACTAGCATATGATGTAGTTTCTACCCACTTGGTGAAGTAATCAATCATCACAAAGATGAATCTATGCCCATTCGAAGCTTTTAGAGTAATGGAACCGATGACATCCATGTCCCACATAAAAAATGGTCATAGAGGAGCCAAAACGTGCAATGTTGTTGGAGGAGCGTGGATCTTATCAGTATAGATCTAACACTTTTGGCATTTGTTAGCATAATTAATATAGTCACTCTTCATTGTCAACCAATTGTAATCGACCATCATAATTTACCTGGCCATCATACGACCATTTGCATGTGCCTTACAAATTTCATCATGCACTTCTTTAATAATCTTCTTCACTTCAGCTGCATTCACACACCTTAAGAGTACTTGATCTCGACCCGTTTTATATAAGACATCTCCATCAAGGAAGAAACTCATAACCAACCTTCTAATAGTCCTTTTATCATTTTTTGTTGCATGTTCTAGGTATTGTTGGTTTTTAATGTATTGCATAATGTCATGATACCATGGCTTCCCATCGGCTTCTTTTTCGACACCTAAACAATATGCTGGATCATCCTTCACATTCAGCTTGATAGGTTGGATTTTAGTATTTACATCTATTTTAACATTATAGCTAGAGTAGCTAGTGCATCAGCAATTTGGTTCTCTTTTCTAGACAGATGCTCAAACTGAATTTCTTTAAATTGCTTGAATAATTCAGAGATGTACTTATGGTACCATATCAACTTGAAATCTCTCGTTTCCCACTCTCCTCGCAACTGATAGATGACAAGAGTTGAATCTTCAAACACATCTAACATTTTGATTTTCTTGTCAATCGTCGCTTGCAAACCCATAACACAGGCTTCACATTCAGCCACATTGTTTGTGTAATTGAAATTCAACCTAGCCATGATGGGATAATAATGCCTATCGAGAGATATTAAGATTGCTCCAATACCATGGCCTAACGCATTTATGGCTCCATCAAAATACATTCTCCAAGACTCTTCGATAGGTTTATTTTCTTCAATAGTCATCACATCTTCATCAGGGATATCTAGGTTTATTGGTTCATAATTTTTGACAGTACGATCGACAAGAAATTTGGCTACTGCACTTTCCTTTATAGCCTTCTGAGTTACATAAATAATATCATATTCTAAAAACATAACTTGCCACGTGCTATTCTCTCCATCAATGAAGGCTTCTCGAAAATATATTTAATAGGATCCAACTTTGCTATAAGCCAAGTGGTATGATAAAACATGTATTTCGGAGCCTTCGAGCTGTCCAGGCCAATACATAACACATCTTCTCTAATGGTAAATACTTGGACTCGTAATCAGTGAATTTTTTGCTCAAGTAGTAGATTGAGCGTTCTTTCCTGTCAGTTTCATCTTTTTACCCCAATACACATCCCATTGAATTTCATGCACTGTTAAGTACAAAATCAAAAGTTTCCTCAGGATTGGCAACACTAACACAGGTGGATTTGATAAGTATTCTTTAATCTTATCAAAAGCTTCTTGGCATTCATCATTTCATTCTCCTAGATTATGTTTTCTAAAAAGCTTAAAAATAGGATCGCATTTGTAGGTGAGCTGAGAGATGAAACAAGCAATATAGTTCAATCTCCCTAGGAAACCTAGCACTTCTTTTGGGGTACAAGGAGGAGATAAGTTCTGGATGGCTTGTATCTTATTCGAGTCCACTTCAATTCCTCTTTCACTAACCATAAAGCCTGTAGACCCAATTTGGTTCAGGCCCGGATCAATTAGGCCTGGTCCAAATGGGTTGGTCTGCTTTGTTTTTTTATTATTTTTGTATTTTATATTTATATTTATTTTATATTTTATATATATTTTCTTTTTCCTTTATCTTTTAAGTATTCCTTATTTACTTATTTATTATTACCATTTATTAATATATATATATCTTTATTTTTTTTTCTGTTAATAATTATATATATACTTTTTTTATATTGACTATTATTTATCTATTTATATGCTATAATTTATCTATTATAATTTTTAATTTATCTGTTAATTTTGTGGTTTATTTGATTATTTATCTATTAATATATTTTTTATTATTATTATTTTTATTTCTTTTTTTTCCGGTTGAAGATTAGATTGGGATTCAATCAGAGTCCATATTAGATTCAATGATTGAATCTCAATCCAAAGAGGAGTTGAGATTGATCAGAAACTCTTCTTATCAATCCCTATAAAAGACCTTTGGATCAAAAGAAAGAACACAGAGAGAGAAAAGAGTTGCTGGCTGAGAGAAAAAGGCAGACAAAAGAGATTTAAAAGCTGAAAAAGGGTTTAGAGGCGTTAGAATAGCTTTAGAAATTGGTGGAAAATTTTTAAAGATTTTTTTGGAAATTTTTGGAAAATTTTCAGATTTCGGTTGAATTTTTTGACGAAGATTGAATTTTTCGATGATTATTTCGATCAATTTTGAAGTTTTCGGCCAGCTGCCCAGTTTTCAATGAGAACTCCCATAAACCGACCAACTTTCTGATGAACTTTCAGCGAAAAACTTAGATTCTGGCAAAAATTTCTAGAATCTGGTGAATATTCAATCGGAGTTCTTCAGATTTTAGAGAGAAGAGAGAGAAGAAAGAAGGGAAAAGAGAGAAGAAAAGAAGGGTTCTGCTAAAAAAATGAAAGAACCAACCTTATATACCCTGCCAAAATGACGTCGTTTTTGCGTTAAATAACCTAGAAGATCAGCGCGTTTTACCAAGATCTGACCCGACCCGAGCGTCGATCCGTTTTCGACCCACGTCTCGAGCCGTTAGCCGATACCCGTGAGCCACTTCTCCGAAGCCGTTTTTCTTTTTTAAGCCGAGTTGAGCCGAGCCGCAAGTAGAGCTGTTCCAGGTTTTTTTTTATATTTTATTTATTTATTTATTTATTTTTATTATTAGATTAGGTTTATTTAATATTCTTTTATTTTTATCTTTATTTTATTTTTATTTTTGTTTTACTTTTCTTTTTTTTTTTATTTTGTTATAGTATTTTATTTTTCTTTAAATAAAATCCAAAAAAAATTTTTGGGGAAAGGTTGAAAGTATCAATTTTCCTTGAAAATAAGCTTTCCAAAAAAATATTTTTAGGAAAAAGTTGAAAGTATCAATTTTCCTTGAAATTAAAGTTTCAAAAAAAATATTTTTGAGGAAAAGTTGAAAGTATCAATTTTCCTTAAAAATAAACTTTCTAAAAATATTTTTGGGGAAAAGTTGAAAGTATCAATTTTCCTTAAAAATAACTTTTCAAAAAAGTTTTTGAGGAAAAGTTAAAAGTATCAATTTTCCTCGAAATTAAAGTTTCCAAAATTTTTTTGGGGGAAAAGTTGAAAGTATCAATTTTTCCTTGTACAAAAGCAATCATTTTTTTTCTTCTTTTTTTCTTTTTTCTTATTTCTTTTAAATTTTCTTTAATGTCAAATAAATCCGACGATAGAGCCTCTGCAAGTGAAACAGTAGTTTTCAAGCATACTCTTGAGGTGAGGAGATTTTCTCAATTTTTTGCTAAAAGTATTAGAGTCAATTGAGAATAATTTCTAACAACTAATTACTTGGTAAGTTTTTAAGGCTTATTAGATAACACAAAATTAAGCTGGTACCATCTTTTGATGGGCGTTGTGAGAGTACTATAACCTTCTTCACACATAACCGAACTCCTGAACCCTATTCTGGTTAGTAGACCCGAACCTATTCTTTTAGGGACCCTTAAACTTAGGTGTTCCCTGAAAGGGCAGATTCTTTAGGTGGCCAATTGCACCTAGATAAAAAAGATTGGTGGCGACTCCCTAAAGTCCATGTCTAGCGATAGATCCCTAGATCTAGACGTTATGACAGCTTGGCGACTCCACTGGGGACTTCTAAGAGTCAGGCTAGCAAATAATTTGTATTATCCAAAAGCCTAATAAAATTGAACCTTTTGTATATATGTGTTATTATTCATTCATGTTTATTTACTTTGTTAATTATGTCATTCATATGCATGTGCATAACGTGAGCTCTATACCCGAGCTCCATCCCTCTAAGAAGGAGTAAAGTACCTATTACTTTCGTGAGGTCTAATGCCTCCGTAGTGGCTAGCGAAATACTCCCACCCAAATTGAACCTTTTTCGCTCGTAGCCTGTAATGGGTGAAGATTAGGGTGCCTTACTAGTCTGTGATGGACAAGGATGTAAGGAGTAATTTGAGAACCTTTAGACTTTGACCTTAAACCACATATAGTGAACCTTAAGAGTGCCTAACCTATAGATAGAGCCATCATTCTTCCTTTTTAGAATTGACCAAAAGCATAGGATTCATCCCTCTTATTCTGTGTGATGTTTAAATTTACTTAGTTATTTATTTATTTCTTTTTTCTGAGTGTACTAACATTTTCTCTCATTCTTCTGCATTGGTTCATGCTTATATCATACAGTTGCATTAAGAACATTTGCTTAAAAGACGATCTTCAACAAATTTATTTTCATGGACTCCAATGAACAACTAGTTTACTATTCATCCGTAATAGCACATTGTGAGACACCTAACGAAGTAAGGGCCCAGTCAGAAAAGATTCAACTGAAGATGGGAGATTGTTTACCAATTGGGTATGATTTTACTTTATCTCAAGAAACATCTATCCTCCTCAAACAGAATAATCTAGAAGATTTGGTTGATATCTGGAAAAAGATGAGCCTGTCAAGACAAGAGCAATTTTGCCAGAGACACGGTCATATAGCACACCTTCTAGCAGTGGCGATGGATGATCAACTAATCAGAGCTGCAGCATAATTCTGGGATCCTGCATACAAGTGTTTCATCTTTAATGAAGCTGATATGACTCTCACCATCGAAGAATATTTAGTTTTATTGGGTTTGCACCTCAAGGCTCTTGACAAGATATATGTCAAAAAACACAAGTCAGGATTTCGTAAAGGTCTATCTCAACTTATGGGGATAGACAAAAAAATTGTGGATTCTCATACAAAGAAGAAACAAGAACAGGTTTACCTACCTTAGAAGCTCTTTCATGAGTTTTTGATGCAACATGCCAATGAAGAACGGAGGTTAGATATATTTGCCTTAGCCATATACGGAATGGTGATCTTCCTAAAAGTTTTGGGTTATATTGAGATAGCGATGGTGGACTTCTTCGAGAGTGTGATTAATGGTTATAATCTTTTAACGGTAATATTAGCAGAGACTATCATATCTTTGAGTTATTATCATCATAATGGAGGGCGCTTCATAGGTTGCATACAGTTATTATACTTATGGATGAAAAGCCATTTTGAATAGGGAAATGGTGCTTTCTCGAAGCTTTATATCCGTAATCATGCTTCGATCAAAAAATTCTGTGAAAGTGAGTGGTCAGAATGAAAGTTTAAAAAGAAATGGATAACTTTCCTACAAAGGTTGACTAGCGCCAAGGTGAGATGGTTGGCCCCATGGATGAATCGTGAGCTTATGTTGTATCAATGTGAGGTAGTACAGTGGTCCCACTTCTGGGTTTATAAGGAGTGACAAATTATTCACCACTCCTAGTGAGAAGGCAATTTGGGGAAGAATAGTTCATTCTTATAACTTATGGGCTTTATCAGTTAGATTTCTCTTACAGTGAGCTTAAAGCATTTCAGAGGATGAATGAGATAATTAAAGCATAGAAAAATCCCCGAAGAGTGAGTCCTAGACCGTTTACTGATAAAGTCACCTCAGGGTACTTGGTTTGGAGAACAAAAAGAAGACAAGAAATGGTATTCACTTATGAAATCTCTCAACCACCAACAGAAGAAAAACTCAAAGAGACACCATCAGAATTAGAGCTTGCAACAAAAGAATTTGAGTCTGAAAATGGTAAGTTAAAGCAAGAAATCCAAAAGCTTCAAGAAGAAAAAGATCAATGAAAAAATAGAGCTGAAAGTCATGAAGTTAAAGTGCATAAGATTGCTAGAGAACGTGATACAGCTATTGAAGACTTAGCAAAGCTACACCAAGAGCATAAAATGTTATGTGTGAGAGAAAGGGCCAAAGAGATTACCATTGTCGAGCTGACTGAGGAAAATACAAGATTGAAGCAAGAGTATGCTTAATTGGAAGAAGAAAGTATCGAAGTACAGACAGAGAATATCATGCTAAATAGTTACTTGAGCAGGTTAAGACAAAAGTTAAATGAACAAAGAGACCACATTGCTGCATTGGTTAGGGAACATAGAGAATTATCATACCAAGTCTGGTGTGGTAAGAGAGAGAACTTAGGAAGACAAAAATACATTGAGCACCTAACGACCCAAATCTGTAAAAGGGTATGCAAGGTAAGAGAGATAGTGGAAGAGGCAGAGGCATTGAAATGAGTAGTGACCCCAGTAGGAGAACATAGACAGCGTCTGTTGAACTTCATTGAGGAAGCCAAGGCCAAGTATGAACAGATTAAACAATTTTATGGTTATAATTCTAGGATGATAAACTCATTGTAGATAAAAGTTTTTTGGAATAAATGAAATATTCTAATTGAATACTATTTTTTAGGTAAATGTTCTTTGCATACATGCATTTTTCATTCATTGCATTCTCATTCATAAAGTAACCATATGATAGTCATACAAATTTACTAATTCTAAGACATGGTACTCAAGGTTCAAGGATAGCTCCATCTAACGAGAACCCTGCCCATCGATACAACACAAGATCCAGAGCCAGACAAATGGAGCAAGAAAATTCTCACAGATTTGAAAAGATAGAAAAAGCACAAGAGAAGATTGAAAGTGAGTTGAGCAAAATTTTGGATGCTCTTAATAAGTTGAATAAGGGAAAAAGAGTTGAAGAAAATACAAGCCAACAAGTTCCCTCATTGTAAAAAGTGGCTGACCTTTTGTATCCTCCAAGTTTTGGCCCTCCTCAAGCCTAGTCTGCTCAAAAGGTTCCATCGCAACACTTCACATATCCAACATATCTTGGAATACCGTCAGCTTCCAACCCAGGGCATTATAACAGTTATGTAAATCTTGTCTTTACTGAAAAGGCAATAGAACCAATTCCTGATCTAGATGATTTGAAAGAGAAGGAGAAAGAAAAGATAAGAGTGAAAACTCAAGAAAGCTCCAAGATTAGTATACTAGAACAAAGGCTACGGGCTGTGGAAGGATTTGATTTTTATGGTTCAGTTGATGCTGCTGGGCTTTGCTTAGTCCCTGATGTGGTCATTCCTCATAAGTTCAAAGTATCAGAATTTGAAAAATATGATGGTACGAAGTGCCCCAAAACCCACATCACCATGTATTACAAGAAAATGGCAGCTCATGCTCATGATGAAATACTTTTGATGCATGTTTTCTAAGATAGCCTTACTGGCTCTACTGTCAGGTGGTACGTTCAGCTGGATAGAACCCGTATTCACTCTTGGAGCGATATGGCTCATGACTTCATCGATCAATATCGACATATTATCGATTTGGCCCCTGATCGTTTGTCTTTACAGAACCTGGAAAAAAAGGCAAACGAATTTTTTAAAGAGTATGCCCAGAGGTGGAGGGATATTGCTTCTCAAGTACAACCTCTTCTGACTAAGAAAGAGATTACAGTGCTGTTTGTTAGCACTTTAAAACCTTCTTATTATGAAAAGATGATAGGGAATGCAATGAAAAATTTTATTGATATGGTAATTTTAGAAGAAATTATTGAGAGTGCTATTAAGAATGGCAAGCTAAAAGGAAATGAAGCATTTAGTAAGAGAGTCCCAAAGAAGAAAGAGATTGAAGCTCAGGTTGTGAGCTTTGATAGATAGTAATTTTAAGGCTATCAACTCTACTCACTACCAAGATATCTGTCATATTATCTTACTGTAAATAACACTTCCCCTTACCCATATCAACCATTTGTACAATCACCATACCCCCAAACTTGTCAAACCCCTCCTAGGCCTCAAAATACCATGTACAATCCTAACACTCAGCCTACCCCAAGACCTCAAAATCGTCTAACTAACCCCATTAGTGGTTTGTGGGAGCAACGAACTACCCGTGAGAAACCATTTGTACAATCACCATATTACCCTACTGTAAATAACACTTCCCCTTACCCATATCAACCATTTGTACAATCACCATACCCCCAAACGTGTCAAACCCCTCATAGGCCTCAAAATACCATGTATAGTCCTAACACTCAACCTACCCCAAACTTCAAAATCGCCCAACTAACCCCATTGGTGGTTCGCAAAAGCAACGAACTACCCGTGAGAAACCTGTGTTTGACCCAATTCCAATGACTTATACAGAATTATATAAGGAGCTTTACAACAGTCATTTGATTGCTCCTAGTAAATTGAAACCCCTCAAGCCACCTTACCCCAAGTGGTGCGATCCTACAGCCCACTGTGACTACCATTATGAGATTGATGGTCACTCCACCAAAAATTACATCACCCTGAAACATAAAGTATAACGGTTGATCAAGGATGGAATGATTTGCTTTAATACGAGAGGGGTGACTGCACCGAATATTAGTGGCAATCCCTTGCCAAATCATAATGTGAATGCTATAAGTGAAGAACAGGAGCGTCATGTGAAGAAATGAGTGACAGATATTAAGACACCTCTCAGCCAACTGTTCGATATTTTATGAAGAGCTGACATGATACAACTAGTAAGTCCACATAACTATCATGGAGCATATATAGCTGGTACTAGTTGTAAGTATCATAATGGGGCAATAGGCCATTCCATTGAAACCTGTGAGCAATTTCACCAAGAGGTGGATTCATATCAGATGGAGGTCTAGAAGAAAGAGAAGGCTTAAAGAGTGTTAAGGTGTCCATGGTCGATAAGCCCGCAAAGTTATTTCCAAAGTCAGTGACAATTCATTGTAGGAACAAGCCAAAGTCAATCATAGACAAACTTATTCCTAGGTCGGTAACTTTTAAAGTTTTGACCCTTTTTCTCGTACAAGGATGATAAAGCTGTACACTAAAGATATAGCTGTGATATAGTGGTTCAGGGGTAAGAAGATGATGTCTCCAAAGTCAACGCTTCCAATAGAACTGGTGTAGAAGGTATTACCCCGAAGTGGAAGGTGCTACACTTCAGAAATGTTAAAGAAGGCTAGAAGAGAAAAGGCTAAGAAAAGAGAAGGATAAAATAAATAGAACCCGAAGAAGATCGTTCGAAATCGATATAAAAAAAAGGTTTGTGAATTCTTGAAGCTGGTAAAATATAGTGAGTATTCAGTTGTTGAATAGTTGAATAAAATGCTAGCTCGAATCTCATTACTATCACTGCTGCTAAACTCAGAGCCACATCAAAACGCCCTGCTAAAAGTGTTGAATCAGGCATACGTGGTACATAATATATCTGTTGAATATGTGAACCACCTGGCTGAAAATTTAGTCATGCCAAATCACATTTTGTTCAGCGATGATGAGATTCCCTTAGAGGGAAAAGAAAATGCCAAGGCTCTGTATATCACAGCCAAGTGCAAGAGTCATATCATAGCCAAGATCCTTATCGGTAATGGCTCTGCTATCAATGTCATACCTATGTTAACCTTGACGAGGCTACCCATTGACTACTCTCATATGAAGGACAGTCGGATGATTGTAAGAGCCTTTAATGAGATCAGAAGAGAAGTTTTAGGGGATATCGAGATGCCCTTACAAATTGGGCCATACACTTTCAATGTAAAGTTTCAAGTGATGGATATCTCTCCATCATACAACTGTCTATTAGGAAGGTCGTGGATTCATATGGCAGGAGCTGTGCCCTCTACTTTGCACAAGAAGATCAAGTTCAATGTAGAAGGTCAATTAGTAGTGGTAGTTGAGGAGGAAGACATGCTAGTGACCCAACCATTGAACATTCCATATGTAGAGGCTACCGAAGAAGCATTAGAATGCTCTATTGATCTTTTAAATTGGTTAATTCTGTAGGTGAAAGATTTAAAAATCAACCTTTTTCAAGGATAGTGATGAGCCAAGTCATCAACAAAGACTGGTATCCAGGACAGTGATAGACAATAACGACAGGGTAGGCTTAAGCTATGAGATGGTAGAATGGGAGGTCAAAAGAAGGTCAGTAGAAAAGATAGCAAGACTAATGGTTATCCCATACCTATATGAGACTTTAAGACCTGGAGGATTCATGTACCCAGATTTAGGAAAAAGTGTGGAAAACATTTTTGCCCAATTAACCATTAATGCTGTTGAAGATGAAGTGGGGCTTAATCAAGAGGAATGGGTTCACCTTTGTCCTCCAGATTATGAGCTGAATAATTGGAGTGCCATTGAGATGCCTGTGACTTTTGAGACTAATACAATGTAATTGTAACATTCCAATAGCTACTGCCCAAGGCATTAGGGTGATCTTCTTGTTTGGGCCATTTATCTTTTATTATTTTTAATAAAAAATAGGAAGGATGCATTTTCATTCATTTCTTCTTGTGTCTTCATTATTTCCATCTTCTCAAGCACATCTTGCCAACATATCCCATTTCATTCAATTTCAGGTCTTTAAATGAACATGAAGATAATCATGATAATAATCAAGAGGTTAGTTTTGAGAATTTAATTAACACTGATGAACTGAACAATAAAGAGAATTTTGAGGAATATGTTATGCCTCCGAACCTAATGAGATTGATTGAACAAGAAAATAAGCCAATTAAGCCTCATCAAGAGATAGTTGACTTAATGAATCTAAGAAATGAAGAGAATAAGAAAGATGTCAGAATTGGCACTTCACTTACATTAGGAGATAGATAACGATTGGCAGACTTACTTCGAGAATTCGTA